TGTATTCAAAGTGGTTAGGATAGATATATAGTTACATTCTCTTAATGAATAGAGGAATTTGTTCTAATGGTGTTTGTAAGTAGGATATCATGTCCACATCTTGTACAGCAATTAACCCCTAGGAAGAATGTATGCAATGTGTTAATTATTGAAACTGTGCTACCAATTTGGTTTGAAACTGTCTCATTGCTATTTGTTTCTCAATAAAATTATGAAAAAAAAATTGCAAAGAAAAAAGAGAAAGCTCCGGATTGCTGACCTGAGCCATTTGGTAGATGATGGTGACTCCCAACTAAAACAGGAAACAGCAGAATTAGCAAGTGGAAAGAGAGATAAGCTTCGTAGTTGACAGCTCACAGCATGGGTGCTGTTGTGTTGTATGATAAGATCTACCCAAGCAGCACTCAGAAATAAGTTTGAAACTCACTGGAGACATCATGATGAGTGTATAACACTCAGAGTTTGTGGTACACAGGTAGCTCCTGTCACAATACTGGAAGGAAGGGCCAAGTTGGGGGCACAGGAAAAACAAAAAGAAGAGCAACGAAAGTAAAATTAACAAAATCCATCTTAGTAGACAGAAAGGGAAGCAAGCCCAGGAAGCAGGATAAGAGTAGCTACAGAGAAAGGAGACAAACCAACAGATGGTATTCCTGAGGAAAAGTTGGAAACAGAATTTCAGAGAAAGAATGGCCAGAAATATCAGGCGCTTCTGAGAATTCACATATCATAAGGACTGATTGTTGTCCAGAAATGCCAGTTTAACAAGGAAGATTCAAGGGGTGATCCAGGGACAAGATGGTGCATCCCACAGATGGAAACCGTGTCAAGGGGGAGGAAAGATGCCAGCAAAGCCAAGGATTGTTTGGAAGGAAACTGAGGCAAATAGGAGCTGTCGTTTCTCTCAAAATAGAAAACCACCCTCTGCTGAGAGGAAAGTGGAAACTTAGAACTGAGTTTGTATCTGTTGTATACGGAAGCTGGATTTCTTTTACGTTAAGTTGTAAAATACATCTGCAGACAACACAATGTATTCTGAAGTAAAGCACCAAAATGGTGGTCTAAGATTGAGAGTGGCAAGGTCATGGATTCACTGTGAAGAAGAGCAGAACCTCCTGAACAGTTCTAAAAAAAAAATTACAATTCCATGGCACTGTCTGTGGTGAAAGTGGCTTTAGTTATTACTGGTCATGAAAACAGCACATCCCATACTGTTGCTGGTCATTAGACAACAGATGAGGGACAAGTGCCTCGTTTGGGATGGATCAAAACTGCCTGCAGACGAGTGAATGCCCTCCACCCTGCAGACAGGCGGTTGTTCACTATGGACCTTGCACGCAGCGCTGTGGCTCCCCAGAGCATCAGAAGAGCAGCTCACAGCACCTACGTCTGCACTGCTCCTTGCTTCATGGCGCGCTGTCTATAGGAAGGAAGTGCTGCCCTGAGCACCTTGAATCTTGCCCTAGAAAGTCAAGCTGAAATCCAACTCCGAATTGCCTCTTTGTCTTGACTCCCAAAATCAACTACCGCAATTTCACTAAACAGCATTCGATATTGCATTTTTGTCGCTTTTTTGACAGACTTTCCCCCCTGAAGGCACGTACATTTCTGGAGGGCGGGTTGTTATTTTACTCTCCCTCCTTCACTGGATTCTCTGAGGGCCCGCATCCCTGCTGGAAGGTGGCTCTTCCTTGGTCCCGTGGTACAAAGTGAGTGCTCCGGGTTAAGTGTAATTCTACGTCATGACTCTTTTCATTTCAAAACTTGGTATCTACTATTCTAACACGTGTCTCATTTCCTATGGAAGTGCCTTAGAGCTTTTCACACCGATATCCCTTATTATGCAAGTACAAGGAAAAAATGTCAATATGAGTTTTCTCATTTCAAGTTGAGTTCTCTGTATTTTCACAGAACCACCGCCATTAGACACAAAATAAATAGATGACATTCTTACAGTGGTAAACGGCTTTTTTTTCCTTATGTTGTTTCTCAGAACCATTCTGTTTTTCTCTTGGGTTTAGCCTTATAGAGTAGATGGATGGGCAGATGCGGAGGCCCCAGGAACCACAGCGTTTTTATCAGCACCTCATAAAACTAAAACATGGGAGCTGAAGAGACATGCATTTTAGAGATTCTTAGAATTATATTTCCCAATTTAGAGTAAAAGGAAAACATGCACAGAAGTTGATATAGGGAAAGCAGAAATTCTTCCCATTAGAGTTATAACAACACAATAAATGCAGCACTAGTTTCTTAACTGAAAGAGCATATAATATATAGTGTATATATGTGTGTGTGTGTGTGTGTGTGTGTGTGTGTGTGTATACATATGTTTTCTCTTAATGATAAAAGGCGTATGCATCTTTGACTGTGTGTTTCCATGGACACACAGGCACATAGGTGATGAGCTGTATGATAAATTACTTTCTGTGTCTCAATAAATTAAAAACAAGCCTGTTCTCCCTTTGCCTTACAGGACTGTCAGCATCACACTGCTGGTGACTTCTGTGAACGATGTGCGCCGGGATTTTATGGAATTGTCAAGGGTTTGCCGAGCGACTGTCAGCAGTGTGCTTGCCCTCTGATTTCTCCCAGCAACAAGTAAGACTGAGAAATAGAACTGTATCCCCCAATCAGTAGTGCCATCTGTCTAGCACATGGGCTGTCTAAGACTTGGGTATTTCCATGTAGGCAAAGTCTTAATTTAAGACAGAGATTTTTTTAATAATATAAAAACATGACAAAAGTTAGCTTACATACTCTTTCATTTGTCCTTTAAAACCCTGTCCAAAGTAAATAATATTCATAAACTCAAATGTAAGAACCCATATTAACAGGGGATTTGCTCATACATAATGTACAAATGTGCATGATTTTATAAATACACAGATCTAGTGTTTGTACATAGTTCTGCCAAAAATTCAGCTATGAAAGATTGGATACTAATCATTTTCGTGGCTGTTTCCATTCATTGCGTGTGTGTAAATTCAAGATTGAGAAATAAAGATGAAGGAGACAAATTGGAACTGGCTCAGTGGACGCAGGGTGACTTACTGTTGTGCTCTAAGAGGGTCAGGATCTGCCAGCACTAGAGCCCCCTTTCTGCTAAGATGGTCTGAGCACGCTGCCATGGAAACAGACTTATAGGGAAGCAAGTGCTGCGATAGCTTCTTTCACTGCTAGCTGCACATTCTGCCTTGACTTTTATTTTGATGAAATTACCTAGGTGTTTACATTTACCTTTTTGCTAAATGCATGCTTTCTGTTAAGTGATTTGTAAACGTCAATCTCTATGTGGTAAAGCAGCCTTTCTCTAGGAATCTGCTTTTAAAGAAGAAGAAAAAGATACAAAAGTTTGTTCAGAATTAGAATTCTAGACATCTTGAGCACAAAAGAGCAACAAAGCAAATCAGACAGTAGTTATCTTTCCACTCCTGCCTATTCATTGGGCTTCTTCATCTTCAGCTTTAAATACATCCTGAAAGCAATTTTGTGTAAATTTTCCCCCATTCTCCCTCTAAGTTCCTGATTTTTCTTAGCCATAATTGTAAACGTTTTCTGAGGTTTCAGTTGTAGATATTTAAGTAAAATGGGTATTGACTGTGCTAACACACATTCTCTTATTACTCAATAAGATACCAGAGAGTAGTTGTATGACACGTATTATTAGCATCTCCTTTACTCTAATCCCCCTCTGATACCAGTATTTAAGCCAAAAAAAATGCTGTTCTACTGTTTACTTAAGATGTAATTTGGATTAGAAAATAATGGATAGTTCATTAGACATTTCTTGTTCAATACACTATAAGGAGAGCTACAGGGAATAGGAGAAAAGTGTACCACTTCATGGAGAACCTCACTGTGAGACATGAATCTGAAGAGGACTCAAGTTCAGCATTAAGACAACTCAAGGACTTACAGCACTACTTAATTCTGAAAGCCTTAAGAAAATATTGAAAAAAGTATTTGTACATGCGATAACTTGCCAACAGTGGGCTACACTGCTTTTAATGAGTAAGGGTGGAAGACAGTGGTCTGAGCAGCTTAGAAAATCCAACACGTGTGGTGTGTTTAAGAAATAGTAGGCAACAGAGCTTGGAGCACGGCCTTTAAATGGATAGAATTTTAATAATTGCAGATGAAAATGAATGGGAGATTGGAGGCCACATTAGAGAAATCCTTGAATGCCAGTCTAAGAAATTGATATTTAATTTTTCTATATACCAAAGAGCTGCAAATTTTATTTTTTTTAAAAAAATGAATGTGATCAGAGCCATATTTGGGAAGACTATTATGAAGGAATTGAAAGTAATGAATAGAAACAGCAAAAGAAGGAAAGCAATGACACCAATTAAACCGAGACTGCACTAGCCTAGGCAGGAAATAATTAGGATTGAAGGAAGGCAGTGTAACAAGAATGGAGACGTGAGAATGACAGTGAGACACATGTTGAACACAGCCAGACAGAACTGTTACCTCGTTAGCCACAAGGGCTGAGCGTCCAGGCGGGAGTAGACCACTGGAGCTTTTAGCCAAGTTGTCCACACAGAAAATAAAGGTGGATGAATGAACTGAAATGGGAAAACCAGCCAAGAGCAGCTGCAGAAGAACGGCAATTTATGGTTTAAATAGTTTCCGATTTCCAGCAAGAGTCTACCTGAGTGGAAATAAGCAAAGAGCTGCCAAAATGGAAATCTGAAAATTGCAGATGCAGGCAAAGGAAGAAATGTGTTAGTAAATGAGTTGAAGTCATGTACAGTTTCCCAAGCTAATGTTCCCACGTGCAAATGAGGAAAGACAGGACTTTGGCTGGGGTCACAAGCAGAGGACCGATGGCAGCACAGGTCAGGGAGACCAGAAGTTGTACAGTGGTGTCACTCATACGGAGGGACAGCAGCACGAGCCGCTGCTGTATGGGGGACACGATTTCAGCAGCCTGTAACTAGGAGGGCACTGGTTAGTGCTAACAACCAACAATATAAGCAGGCATGAAGTTTACAGTTTTAGGGCTGAGGAGATAGCTCAGTGGTCTAAGCACCTCCTGGCAAGCACAAGGACCCAGGTTTGATCCTTGGTACTGTATGGTGTGCCAGCCCCAGATCCCTGGGCATGCCTGAGAGCCACCAAAGCTGGGAGTGTTGGCACATGCCTGTAATCCTAGCCCTGAAGAGGCTGAGACAGGAGGATTACTATGAGGCCAAGCTGTGTAGCAAGACCCTGGACTAAATGAATAAATAAATGTTTACAGTTTTAAGCAATTATACAAAGTGAAATACTACTTTGGTTTGTTATCAGTACCAATAAAATTGCATTTTCTCTCTTTGTTTCACTTTTGGTTCATGATTTGTATAATTTAAGTATAATCTTTATTTAAAAGGCTCTGAAAGAAACAAAATATCAAATTAGAGTGAGGGCTCAGTTGTTTTCAGTCTTTATTGATGGCAAGCACTGTAGGAAATACTTTTTTGTTTCTTAGCTCATTTCTGAAAAACTCAAAGATAACAGTATACAATGAAATAACCATTGTCATTTCCCTAACATGTTTTGAAATTCTGTGCCATTTTTATTTTTTCTTTCTTTAAGATAAATAAGAAATCATTGTGTAGATTACAAATAGATGGTGATGTAGAAATAGAGCGGCCTGCGCAGCCTCACTTAGCTTGTGTGGTGTGAGAAGCGGAAGGCAGGGAGGCGCGGGGAGCGACTGCCGAACCCAGTCACAGCATCTGTCGGAGCCTTCACTGGCTTCTCCTGAAACAGATACGGCACGACGCTCATAACCATGAGAGACCAGAGCGCTGACACCCCCGGAGGGTTTCGCAC